CTACTCATCTGGTCCAGTTTAGCGGATTTCACACCATCCGTGATTTGCGTTCCAATTTTAATCAACTCACTGAGTTTGAGCACAATCAAATCAAGACTATAAAAGGATAGTAATCTTCAAGACTGTGTTACTAAAAAGAAACCAAAACAACAACCTAGACACATCGCAGCGCGATTGCAATTTGCCAGACAACACATCGACTGGACTACGGATATCTTTTCGGCAACTTTACCACTTTGAACCTTTGGGAGTTGATCGACTTAGAGGTGCATTTCCGACCAGTCGCTAACGAGTATCATGGAAGCTTGGGACAGTTCCAGGTGAACATGTGTCAGAAACTCGTCGATACCACGCCAAAATGGCTCAGAAAAGTCATCAAGCGAAGAGGTGGACAAACGTATTATTGACATTCACAGCGTTCTATTACTTCATGAATACTCATGATGTTGCGTTTACATGGTATTCTCCATAGAGAATTCAAACGTTTTTTCACTGTTTCATTCAGACTGCTGTTTTTATTCAATCTTGCATGGCAATTCCAATTTTGTTTTTTTTATTGTGTGTAAAAATGCATATTTTATTAGATATACAAATATATTTATTCAAACCATTATTGAGTTTATTTTATTGAATGATATCATAGGTAGTAACTGCGTGTAGTGTGGTGCGTAAATATTTTCTGGCGGGTCTGTATGTTGGTGTTTACACATTGACCTTGGATTCCCAGAAATTTTGTTTTTTACTGCATCGTGTGCTAAAATTACGATTGCACGTTGAATAACATACTTTCAGAAAACCTGACCATATTGAGATTAAAGGGCGGCAGTCGTCGAGCTGCAACTTGTTCGATATAGGACTCATAGTGAGGTAAGGCCTTAATTATTCCCACCATAATTCTAGTGCTAAATTTTTTTTAAACATTTGTGTATATTTTTCTGGAATTGTTTTGTTAATTTTGGTCCAAATAGATATAATTTTATGTTGTCTACAATTCTTGATCACATTTTTTTGAAAAAAATGCAAATTTTTTTTTACAGAAGTTGACTTTGTTAATATGTAAATAAAATTGTTATTGAAAGGAAAACAAAATTATGGGTAATGCCTTTATCAACAGTAACAATGACTTTGTTACCACATATTGTCCATCTTTAGCAATAACATGGAATAACAGATCTGGACTAAGAAGTAACAGCAGTGAACTTGTAAGAACACTTAATTTGATTTGGTAAATGCGGGTTTCACACTCCACTGGAATATTAAGTTGTGATCAAATAGTATTACCAGTGAGTCTGTTGTGTTTAGCGTATTCGCTATACGTAATGATTCAGCGTAAATTGATGCAGTTTCAATATCCCCAATTATAGAAGTATACCTGCTGCCAGTATGGTAAATATTCCATAAGCGGTCCTGTCAAGAAAACAAGATAATCAGTAAACAAGGTTATAACAAGGTTTATGCAAATGACCAGAAGATCTCACTGAGAGTGAGACAGCCACAACACTTGTTTTTCTTCGTGTCACACGCAACGTAATATTACCGTAATTGGTATAGTACAGGTGTGATGGTTCAAATACCAAAATGGCAACAGTAACAGAAAGACTTCCCTGGTGGCGATGATAAAACACAAACACGGAGCCAACAGATGAGGTTTTAACTGGTACTGGTATTATTATACTCTGCAAACATCAAGTACAATAATGCGGTAAAACTCCACTACTCCAATAACTAGATACTTAAACTCCAATACAATTCAACGAGATCTCCGATCTGATCTCAGTGCTGAACAACTCCCCTATATATACCCATACTGTCTATAAATAGACCATTACATCAGCATACATAATGAGTCTGGAATTTACTACAAATTTCTAGAATGTTCCATTACCTTCTATTGCCTTCTACAGTGTCTTATTACCTATTCAACCAGCTTCTAAAAATTCCACCCAGACACAGTACGGTTCTAGAACATTCTCAGGCACACGGAAGTGGTAAACAGTCGTATGCGACACTTCGTGACATAAAAAATTTGTTGTCATAAATTGTTTTATATATTTCAAGCATTACCCTGAGTGAGTAAAAATGTTACACAACTTTTTTTATCTTTTGCTTGAAATGTGACTCCAGATATAATCATGCAATTTCTATGTGTAGTCAGAATGTGGTGACTAGGTGTAAATATACACTATGGCAATAATCTTATGATGTCTATTCATGGTTAGGAAACTATCGTTAGAGATGCTAATTATCCATTGACTTCACTTTGATGCATGTCCAACTACTATGATGTCATCGCTTACATTGCTATCTAACGCTTTTTTTGTTGAAGTTAGCAACATTTTGTCTGCGTTTGTCATAATACTTCAGGAAATTGCTGAAAAATCAGAAGGAATTTAGTACAACACATTGTAAAATCAGTATTTATAGTTTACACTGTTATAATTTTTGCAAGTTAAATACTAAGTTGTTGTAGAAAATTTTCACCATTGCAGTAGGGTGATTGTAAGTCTGCGTCTGCTGATTTCCAACATGGCGATGAAATTTTGTACCCCAAAAATGCATTTTGGAACGTTTCACAAGTTTATTTTGTACATTGAATTAGAATCTGATAGTCTTTTATGAGAGCACTTAAAAGTTTAAACAATGTTAGTTTCATTTTCTCAAAGTTTACAGACA